TGGAAACTAGTTGAACAAATCAGATCAACAGGCAGACATAGTGGTTGTGAAATCAATTCATAGATGTCATATCTATGCCATGTCTTTGGACTGACTGTACAGCATTTGTAATAGCTGTGAAAAGCAAAGCCACATTAATTTTTATTAGCTACATTGGAGAACCGTACTTTTTTTTTTTTTAAGATATTTTTTTGGGCATTTTGCCTTTAATGGATAGGTAAGCGTGAAGAGGGGAGAGAGAGAAGGGGGGATGACATGCAGCAAAGGGCCACAGGCTGGATTCGAACCCGGGCCGCTGCGGCAACAGCCTTGTATATGGGGCGCCTGCTCTACCACTGAGCCACCAACGCCCCAAGAGAACAATACTTTAAAACAGTTGTGTTTCAGGCTCTGCACTTTTGGCTGTATATTATTATATATTTTTAAGTGTCCTTAACTGGTATCTCCCTTACATTACTTTGTAGCAACTAAATTGTATTGATTCTAGGGTGAGTTTTTACCTAGATCCTCATGCTATTATTGACTGGAAATCCATATTTTGAAGCTGATCTTTAAAGAAGTTTCTTTTTGACGGGGTATGCTCCCAGACTCTGCAAGGGGGTTCACATCTTTGGCACTTAATCACATTTTCTTCATTTTAAGGACACCTTAGGGGCACATCATCACATTTTTTTTTACTGGAAGGGTACTTAATTATGTCTATCTGTGTCAGGGCACTCTGGAGGGCACTACATAACATTTCCTTCACTGGAAGGGCAGCACAGAGGGTACTTCATCATGTTAACCTCAGTGAAGGCCACCCTAGAGGGTATCTTACATGTGTTTTTTTCACTGGAGAGTCGCCCTGGATGGCACCTTTCCATGTTATCTCCACTGGAATGGCACCTTAGAAGGCACTTCATCAAGTTTTCTCCACTGGAAGGGTGCCCTAAAAGGCACTTCATTAAGCTTTCTCCACTGATAGGCACCTTAGAGGGCACTTCATCATGTCTTCTCCACTGAAAGGGCATCCTAGAAGGCACTTCATTGTGTTTTCTCCACTGGACGGGCACCTTAGAAGGCACTTCATCATGTTTCCTCCACTGTAAGGGTGCCCTAGAAAACACTTCATCTTGTTTTCTCCACTGGAAGGGCATCCTAGGGGACACTTCATCAAGTTTTCTCCACTGGAAGGGCATCCTAAAAGGCACTTCATTAAGTTTTCTCCACTGATAGGCACCTTAGAGGGCACTTTATTATGTTTTCTCCACTGGAAGGGCACCTTAGAAGGCACTTCATCTTGTTTTCTCCACTGGAAGGGCACCTTAGAAGGCACTTCATCTTGTTTTCTCCACTGGAAGGGCACCCTAGAGGGCACTTCATCTTGTTTTTTCCACTGGAAGGGCACCCTAGAGAGCACTTCATCAAGTTTTCTCCACTGGAAGGGCACCCTAGAGAGCACTTCATCAAGTTTTCTCCACTGGAAGGGCACCCTAAAAGGCACTTCATTATGTTGTTTTCATAGCGTTTTTTTTACTGCATCCTTTAAGAGACTTAGTCATGTTTTCTCCATTTAAGGCTCCCCTACAGGGCACTTTATCATGTTTTCTCCATTTAAGGGCACCTGAAAGGGAACTTCATCGTGTTTTCTTCACTGGAAAGACATCCTAAAGGGCACTTCTCATGAGACAGAGAGAGAGAGAGAGAGAGAGAGAGAGAGAGAGAGAGAGAGAGAGATATGCAGGTAATGACAGTAGCTTACAACAACATTGTTGAAAGTAATAATATTATAGTTATAGTTCTGGCTACTGTGGTACAATATGTTGAAAGTATGTATTAATATCTGGCAGTATACATGTGTGACAATAGTCATATGCGTATAATAACAGTAGAAGTATGACTAATGACTAATGATGGCAGCAGCAGCAGGAGGCATCTGGCAGGACCACGGCAGCAGCACAGCCTCACAAGTCACGCTGTCCAGGCACCGCAGCGATATGAGTTAATCTGAGAGACAGTGGAGCACAAAGGCTCCGGAGAAGAGGCCAAGTTAGTGACACATACTGATGACGTAAAGTAGTATTCTTGGGAAATGTAGCTTTCTTTTATCAGATTTCTTCTACATCTTCATAAAGAAGGTGAGACTGCTGCGGAGCAGAGAAGATTAAGAACCTAAGACAGGCAGTCAAGTGTGAAGATATCCACAGTTGTAAAAGTCATGGGGGGATTCACACTACCCATAAACAAACACAAATGCATTAAAGAGCTTAGCAGTACTTTTAGCTTGTTGTAAAAGTCTTGGCCTGGGATTTGTGTCAGAGGTGCAGTGGGGTCTGGATTAGGAACACAATTTGTACTACCTGTAGGAAACAACCCCCCAGAAAAAGATTTTATGGGTATGAGGAAATCGCCAGTAATTCTTTCTCTTTGAAGAACCCAGCAGACTCTCAGGTACCTAAACCACTCACCAAACAAAACCTCATTAAATCAGCATGGAATTTAAAGAATGCCCCATGACAAGTCCTAACAATGCCAGTACGCATCTTTTTGTTGTTAATCTTTGTTATCACTTTTATTGATTTTAATGCAGATTTGTGGGAAACCACGTTTGCAGCTGATGCACAGACTCCTCAGTCATTTATCATTAGTTATCTATAGAGTGTACTGAATCACTTAAATAAGCATATCTCCCAAAATGTTAAATTATTCCTAACCTGTCTTGGTTACAAGCCCCCCTCCCTTGGCAATGGTGCTTGAGGGCAATTGTCCAGACTTTAGTCCACAATTATGCTCTTTGTTGGATCTTGCACAGTGCGCCAGTTATGTCTGTTAGTCCAGCATTCCAGCTTTGTTTCCACATTTCCTTTATCAGGGTGCAAGCTTCTCAGTTTGAAAACAGAGGCACAGATTGCTGGGGGAAAATGGGAAGTACCTTAATTGAAACAGATGATTTGATTAGCAGATGAGCAGAATCTTAGTAAAACACCTAAATTTTCTCTAAATAATCACATAGCCCCTGCTCAGTGATGTAAAATTACAGATTATGTGCAGCTAAACCAGGTTTATAGACTAATGCTCTTTTGGGCTGGTCTAGACTCCAAAATAAACATTTCCCTAGCAGCAAAAGTGTACTTGAAGATTAAATCATTTCCAGCAACTGTAACACTAGTCTAAAAATCAGAAAGACGAAAGAAAACAGTCAACTAATGATAAGATTCATCCCTGCTCTTGTTCAGCCTGACATGCTTATCCAAAGTCCTTCTGTTTCCTTCTGGGTATCTTAATAAATTTAAATGACTAGTATTTTTGGTGCTGAATCGCAAGGGAAACAACATTTAGTCAACTAATCACGCACATCCCTAGCACTGGTGTATGTCATTCATGTGTCTTCAATTCTAGTTTTTCACCTTTGTCAGGCAAAATCAAATCCATGTTTTTAAAACACTGGCACATTGTGAGTTCTCATGAAAGAGTTGGAAATTTGTTCAAAGGTAAATAAGATGCAGATATCTCAGAGACATTCTAGTCTCTACACATTCGGGAGTGTTTGAATGTATTTCAGTCAGGGCCTATGATGTCAATATGTGGCGAGTTGCCTCTGCACTAAGTTGAACGTATCTGAAATTACTTTTCAACTACGACTCTTTTCCAACATGTTTTTGCTTCTGAAATATAAACTCTTGAATAGAATTTCATGCATTGACTCTTTGCAGAATGAGATTTGAACACCAGGGCCCCGCACCTCATCAAACAATGCCAGACGTCTTCTCAGATTACACCCCAGGAGCTCTGTTACAGTTTTTTGAATGGTTTTGATAGTGATGTCCGCCGTGAGGCTCACTATCCTACTGTAAGAATCACTCCCATGTTCATAGTATGTGACAGTAGCTCATGTCAGGAAATTACCTGATGGGGCAGAGAAATGGGAGCTAGTGATGATAGCAGTGAGTAAAAAGAACAGGCTCAAGGCCGGTTTGTACTTTTCACACATCTCTGAGGGTCCGCTTTAGTCTGCGTGAAGTAAATGTCGTCACTCGCCATGGACCTGTCTGTGGATTTCCCTGTGCATCCCAAAATATGTGACTGCGTGTGCACCTCTAGCTGGTTTGCCAAGAAGAAGAAAGAGAAGATGATAATACAAAGGATGCTTGTTTTGAAGAGACGTTGTGTAAGGAGATCAGCTATTAGACACATTTATATAATTTGTCTTCAAAGGAATACGAAGACAGCTTAATGGCCATCTCCTGGAACACATAGAAGTCCTGAGAAATTGTGTTTAGGAGAGATGAAAAAGCATGCTGTGCAAAGTGGAAATACAGCACTTGCGAGTTAGATATGATAAGGGGAAAGGGGTAGGCATGCGTGAAACACCAGACTGACGAGGACCCTCACTTGTATTATGTATAGAACTACCAGCGCGTCTGTGACACTGGTACAAGTCCGCAGCTCTACGTGGAAAGCGGAAAGTATGTCCAAGCCTTTAATTCCTCCCTGCTGTATTTATCTACTTCTTTTGTGTCACCAGCATAGAAACTCCCACTAACCCCCTAACCCCCACATGGCATCTCATGTCAAATGAATGACTGAATACCATTTGGAATGTGCATGTCTTTCAGCCAGTGTTTATGTCCCGTCGAGAACAATTGAACAAGTTTGACAGCTGAGACACAAAGGCCATATGATGCCTTTGCTCTTTCTCCAAAAGCAGAGTACACATGAGAAGTTCATGACAGTCTTAAAGTGTTTTTACACTCCTTTTCTACTTCAGTTCATTAGTGAGTGAAGTAGTGAAGTCAGTTAAGTTTGTCTCAAACAAGAGATAACTCAAACTCTTGGTATAAAGTCAATGAAGGTTTTCTGAGATGAACCCATTGTTGTGGAACGTCCTGAGCCAGAGAAGGAGGGGAGAGAGCCATCATCACACAACAGCTCCTCCCAAAGAGAGCAAACACCTCCCTCCTGCTTTAGTTCACTCCCATCACACTAAGGTTCAACTACTCTCAGAGAGCTGCACACTTCTCTGCCGATAGACCCTGGTTGCCCTCACACTGGTGCACAACACAGGTGTGACTGCATCTGACCTGTTAATCATCAGCGCGGTACAGACATCAGTTTCAGTCTTTATCTCAGACATTTGACTTACACTTGGCTATCTACTTTTATCTGCTTTGTGCATCTTTGGCAGCTCCACTTTAGGAGCACTTTTGGACTTTCTGATTCAGACTAGTTACAGAGCAGCACATTTTTAAGTGTGCATTGACAAAAAGCTAGAAAGATGAATTTTGATGAAATTCTCAGTCTTATTGGAGGCTTTGGGAAGTTCCAGAAGATCTTGTACGTATGGATCTGTCTACCTCAGATCTTTCTAGCATTCCACATGCTGGTCTCTGTCTTCACTGGAGCTGTTCCTCCACATTTATGCCGCTCTTCGTGGCCCTCAGCGGGTGCTCCAGCCTCTTCGAACTTCACCTTCAGCCATTTATCTGCCCCTGGTGGTCAGCCTGACCTGTCCTGCTCTGTTCCATTGAACCACAGCATTGCTGTGGCTCTTGACAGTGGACACCCTACTGGGAGCTGCCAGGGCGGCTGGGAATACAGCAAAGAGACCTTCCAAAGCACCATAGTAACTGAGGTGAGTTGAAAACCAACAGCCTGTTTGGCAACCTCTCAAGTCAGGATTTGGAAGTTTTCACCTGATGTGTTTAACATGAGGACTCCATGCAGGTAAGGAATGCAGAGGGGCTGTTTTATTGGAGTGGGCTCTGGTAATGGGGTTAAACAGAGTGAGGTTTGTGAGACTCCTGCAGTGGAGGCGTCTTCTGGCCCTCCCCCCACACCTCACCATGTTTTGTAACTCATGAACCTGAAAGTTGAGCAGCAGTAACAGTAACATGACAAATGATGCAACTGGACAAAGCAGCTGATGTAGAAGTCTCTAAAAGGTGGCCAGTCGTCCACTGTGGCCCTTAATTGGCAAAACTACAACTCGGAAAGCTCAGGAGTCCTACAACCAAGTGACAAGTGGGACAAGGACTTTTTAGAAATTGTCCAACATGGCTAAACTCTGTCCAGGGTGGCTGCTAGAGGACAGGCTATGAGGTCATTAAAACCAAAATGGTTTATTCCCTGTGGAGCGTGAATGTGCTCTCTTAGGTCAAGAGATATCTCACATCAAGTGTTAACACGAATGTGGTCAATAATTTGCCCCCATTCTTATGGAAAATGAATCAGAAATTATAGCCTTATTATTGGTGATTCATCCTCTGGGGAACATGAATGTTCACTGCTAATTCCATTGAGTGTGTTTTTTGAGATGCTTTGATGTGCGCTGACTTGTTTTTGCATAGAGAAATTTGGACCACACCTGGCACTAAAAGAAAGGTCAGGGGTCAGGAAGATGATGAGTCACCCTCAGGGGGACATAATTATATGGACAAAGGTCACGTCACTCTTGACCCAAAATTTTCCAAAAGGATTTAATTCTCAGACTAAGCAGGTAAAAAATCAAAAGTTAAACAATGTTTTCAATGAAACACTCTTGTGTTCTTCTTGCAGTGGGACCTGGTTTGTGACAGCGCCAGCCTGAACAACGTGGGCTCCTCCATATACATGCTTGGCCTCCTAGTTGGAGCTGTTGTCTTTGGGAGCTTAGCTGATAAGTAAGATAACATCCATCTATCTTCAAAAAACTATTGATAAGCCGATGTAACTCCTTACAACTTCAAAAAGTGTGTTGTAATACTCATTTTGGCCACAAGATGCTGAAGTGTGCCGCCAGCCCATGTTCTAAAGAGTACATATATTGAGTGCTGGCAAGTTATGTAGCATTACTGCCATTACTGTCTTTCTTTTGGCTAGATATGTATTTTAATCATGCTAATCCGCTGTTAGCATTAGCTATACTGACGTTAGCAGTTAGCCAACTAGCATGCGATTTAAAAAAAAAACATTGTTCATGGCTGATCAACAGCTATAACCTAGGTTAGGTATACATAATATATTACTGTGACGTTAGTCATGGTTACAGGGACACTTGAAGTTATAAGCCCAGTCCTTTTTTCACCTGATCTCAATTCATAAACACTGGGGAGAGAAAATAATTTACATCATTTTAAAAAGTGGCTCACCGAAGTTTTTTTTCTCACTTGCCTCTCAGGGCTTCTGTACCTGTCGTAGAGCTATGTATCAATTTAATTTTCAAGTGTTGTTTGCATGAAATGACCAAGTTAAAAATGTCTTGTTCCAGGTACGGTCGCAGGATAGTCATTCTCTTGAACCTGGCTATCCAGGTCATCTTTGGGGTTGGTGCTGCTTTCGCCCCTAATTTCTACGTCTACATTGCCCTTCGCTTTATGATTGGAACATCCATCTCTGGTGTCATCATGAATGCCTTTGTCCTAGGTCAGTGTCTTAAAGTGCTAAAGAGATCTGTGATTGTTGTCTGTTTATTTTGTAAAACTCAGTGGAAATGTGTTTCTCCAGAGAGAATGTCACCAGTACAGATAATAATCCACTGACCTCACTGTGAACAGTTTTAAAAAAGGCAGTGATCTGTCAGTTTAAAATGTTTAAATACTGTAACACTATTTTGATCATAGAGATGAATGAATTGTTAAAAAAACATAATAGGACAGTCCAGTGATTTTACACAAAAAAAACCCACAAAAAAATCAGGGTTACTTTCTGAGAAAATCCCCTGATGATGGCTTATAGCATAGACTGGGCTGATACATTTATTTCTATGGATACACTGTTATTGTATGTACATACAGTTTGATGTGTGATTTATGTGACTCATACAGGCACAGAATGGACAGGATCTAAGCAGCGGATGTTGGCTGGTATAATCACCGACTACTTTTTCGGCGTTGGCTACATTCTGCTTGCCGGGGTGGCGTACCTCATAAGAGACTGGCGTAAACTGCAGCTGGCTATCTCAGCACCTGGTTTCCTCTTCATCTTTTACATCTGGTGAGTTGGCTGCAGTGTGACCCATATTTGATGCAGTACGTAATGTTCAGCAGTAACTTTAGAAAATCAATGACAGACTGTCTGGGTTGTGTTGAGATTGTTGAAGTCTAAGATAAAGGAAATCTTTTTCATTCCTTGTGATTGTAAACAAAGTGTGGAGTGCATGCCAGTCCACTCTCATTGCTAGATTGTCAGCCCTGCTGACAGCAACTGATGAAGTATAAAAAGCAAGGTGGTCAGCGCAGGGTGGAAGGGAGGGGTGGTTGATGGGTCAAACAATCACAGGACCAGGAGACCGCTGTTCATGACCTGTGTGAAACCATAGTCAACATCATTTTGTATATCATTATGTAACTTACATACAGAAATTCTCGGTGAAACCGTAATTCAATGTTGTTTTAAGGAAATGTTACCTTACCTTCCTGTGGGCATCATTTCATTACCTCCTTCTTGTGATGTATTAACGTCACATTAAAGTATCTCTAACCATCACCCCCTAACAAATGTACTTGTTTTATTGCCTTTAACAGCAATATACAGGGAATTAATACTGCATAACAAGACCGCCACAAGAGTGTGTTTTACCTGACATAAATGCACATGTGGATGAAGATTCATCATACAGCTTTAGAAGACACACAGCTACCCATGTGTACACCCTCCATGCACATAATTATATGCATACATACAAGTACAGATATATACACATGAATCCACAAAAAAATTAAATCTCAAAATATCAAAAACATTTTTTCTAATCAAGGTAATCAATGACTGGTACCTCTCTTTTTAAAAATGGGGAGTTTTAGTTGTAGCTGAGCTGTCATGAGCTCCATCATGTAAACTTGTCTGACTTTTTGCAGCCATTGAGCAGTTCTAGGAGGGTTAAGTTTCATCTGATTAATAGTAATTGGTTTCCTTGCAGTCGTCAGCAAAGTATGCAATATATAACACGCATTTGTGGTAAACCTGATCGGGCAGCACATCAGATAAAAATAACAACGGGGCCAGTGGAATGTCCAATTCCAGGATTCTCTCCGTTTCTCCTTTAACATATTTTCAGAATGTCTATTTTTGGGCAGTCCCAAAATATGTGAGTATGGTCATGGATTGTACCACATCGTTTTTGTTTTAAAACACCTCTATTGTTATGTTTATACCTAGCGTCCACGCTACTACAGCATATTTGAACCCCCAAAATGAAGTCCTTTTAATACACTGCTGATCCCGTTACAGTCTGGATGCGCAGAAACAGAGACTTTTCAAGACGACCACATAGACACTCATGTTTGCTTTCTGACTGGATCATAGCAGCCGTGCTCTATTTACTTTGCAATAACTTGCAGTCTATGTTTCTCCCCACCTGGAGGGCCTCATACTGATATTTGTTCTGACCAGCAACAAGGTGAAACTGTCACTGACAGTAAAAGACGTCTCTGGTCTTACTTTTCACGATTGCTGTTCTTCCTCTGCAGGATTTTCTGCAACTAAGCAACCAGCTTCAGAGTACACAATCTGCTTCCCATTAACACTGACACACACACGCCAACTGTACATGAATGGTCTCATGATATGCTGGCGTGTTAGTATGGATGAAGGTTATTTCTGAAACACATTAAAAACACATCGTGTACACACTGACCTACTTTGTGGAGTAGCTCTCTGTGTGCCTCAAACTATACATCTCATGTATGATACGCATTTGTACTTGCTGCATTCCATTTAAGTGTCCCAGTGCTGATGCCCCTCTTCTTGCTGTAACAAATCAATTAATCCTCAGTGTGAAGGATCTGTCAGAGTGCCCCCTGCAGCACAGTGGGTGTTTGTTAGTAGGTTACCTGATCAATTGTCTTTACATTTCTAGGGTGTTGCCAAAGTCAGCCCGCTGGTTAATGGCCAATGACAGACAAGAGGAAGCATGGGAACTGATCCGGAAAGCAGCGCAGATGAATGGAAAGCCCCTCACCAAACAATTAGAGATCTGTCAGGTAGAGATGCAACTTTTTTATTCTTAACTGGTCAATAGATATTTTCGACTTCACTGTTCATTTTAGCAATAACAACAAATAGTTAGCACTGCTACACCTGTCATGCTTTCCACTGTTGTGCTTTAGAAATTCTCAATAATTGTTGAAATATTACAATGAGAAAAAATTGATCTCACACAGAGGTGGACAACAGCAGCATCTTATTTATAGCCGGCAACCACTGACTTTGGCGGCTAAAATGATGACTGTCGCTAGCAGATGTTTTCAGCTTTAGCTAGCTAGCCAATTAAATTAACATTAGCTCCTATGAGTTGGTAGATAACATTGTTTTAGTTAATGTTTCCAGCTTACAAGTTAAAAAACAAGAATCCTGTGAAATGAGTCCAGTCTATGAAGCAAAATACATGGAAATAAAGAAAGAATTTTACTTCTAATGCTGAAAGAGTAAAGGCTTTTAGGGCAAGGAGTAAGCAATGTGTTTTGCAAGTGTGAACTTCCTTGAATCTTCCCTAAAATGCAAAACAGAGCTGCTAATATTAGCCACAGTTGTAATACCATCCAGGACCAGCTTCTATACAGTGGATACAGGGCTGCCAACTCTCAGGCATTGACCATAAGACTCACACGACTGACCCTTTTCACACGCTTTTACTCCACGCGTCCATTTTTGCTCACTGAAAAGCCAGTTTATGAATTCATCACATCACAGTGCTAAAAGTAATGTTGGCATTGTACCTTTCTGCAAACCATAGATACTGTATCAAAGTTTTGTTCTTTATTTTGTAGTGGAACACTGTGGATAACCTGTAGTTATATCTGGGCAAGTAAAACACTTGGTTGCGGTTAGGAAGAACGCCTGGTTTTGTTATTTGTTGGTCTTGTTTATAGGCCTGTAAGTTGGCAGCTGTCTTGCCGAGGTGTCTCACTTTCCACCATCTTCTCAACTCCCTAAGGCAAAGTCAGTTCATACACGTTATTAGAGCTACATCACTTTGCAAATGTTGATATGATCCGTATGAAATGTACAAATGTGATGAAACATGCAGTGCCGACAGTTTCTTCTGGTGACTGGGCCGAAAGAGAACACTGACAGGACATGAAGGGACAAGACAGAGCAGCACAATGCAAGCAGCCGTTTAGCAGTTCAGAGATTTGCTAAAAAAACAAACAGTAACTGACGATACTGCATAGTACACCTTTAAGTAGCAGTGAGAATATACTAACTTTTTAATATAGGTCTGGCTCACTCTGAGGCAACCATTGTTACTTTGCATAAATGTTTCCATCAGTCATTATCATTTAGACATGCAAACTGCTTTAACAGGACTGTGTTTTGTCACTGTAACCCTAAGTCTCTCACTCACTGTTTCAACAGGTTTATAAAATTGAGGAGAAAAGTGAGGAGAAGAAAAAATACTCATTCATTGACCTTGTTCGAACCCCCAAAATGAGGAAGCATTCTCTGATTGTTTTTTATCTGTGGTGAGTACGAGCAGAACGTTCCCTTTCTCTTTATATCAGTGTTTAGATCTATATCTGAAAATGTCTTCTCGTCTTTCTCAACCATTTATTGGCCTTATTTCCAAGCTAAGCCAACATCTGTTGGTTTACAATGGCACACCCAAACAGCACAACTTCTCAGCCCCTGTAAAACTACACAGGCACTTGTAGTTTTGTTGCCCTCCACATTCCTAACAGTCTGGAGTATTGCTTTTCCAATGTGTTCCTCTTTGCAATCTCCTCTCAAAACTGCACTCAAGCTCACTCCCCCTTTTCAACATTTTTTTTATACTTGCAAAGATTGTTATAAAACAACTAAAGAAAAAAAAGAGAAGAAGAAGAAAGGAAAAAGAATAAGAGCAGAAAGAATGGGTGTACAGCAGCGACCATAAATTGCAGGTTATGCTACAGACCAACTTTCCTTTTCATGGCCAAATCCGTCAATCACTGTACATATACAAGTATACACAACACTTTTGTGGATTCAGACAAAAATAAGGCAGAATATATACAGACTTAAACATAAAGAGAGGAAGCTTAAAGTGATAGTTTTGTAAAAAGCTGTCTAACTTTACCTCATTTCATTTTCTACATGAAACATAATCAAAACATTGTATTTGCACTAATATCTATAGACAGCCAGAATCTCTGACTAAACCACTGCACTCTTACTTTGGTTTATTTATTTTATTTCTTTATTATGCTTTACGTATTTGCTGATTTATAACAGACAACTGCATGTATATGTTTTCCTGTATGTACACTGGCTGCTGGTTCTCTGTCATGAGGATGAAAGCTACAGCTATTGTGACCGCAAATAAGTGAACAAATAGAATCAGCAGTTAAAAATCAAAAACAGATGGGTTCGCGGGGCTAACAATGGGGATTACTGACAAGTCGTTCGCTAGAATACACCTAAGCTCTTTGAACACAGAGCAGAGTCACACAGCTGCACTGGTGACCGAATTCTTTCAGCGGGAAGGATTAAACGTCTGCCCCAAAAGTTGCTTGACTTGACTCTAGGCTCTTTTTTGAAGTTGTGTTTTAAAGTGTTCAAGTTGGCAACACTGTGTAGTTGAGGGAACCTGGGAGACCAGACACCCCAAACCGACATCAAAGAACTTCTGGCAACCAAGGCCGACTATTGCGCAGCCTCCCTTCGCCTGTGTCTCAGCTAAAAGGATGCACATGAACACATGGCAAAGATTACAGCCGACAGCCAACCAGCACACACCATCTGCGCCTGCATGAGAGGAAGTAACTCTCCACACCAGCAGGCGGCGGTAATCTGTATTAGTCGTTCAAAAAGAGAAACTGGAGGACAGACAGGATAAATCCAGTTAGCACATTAACAACAGAACCTATGCTGAAACAACAAAGGATTTTTATCGTGCTCCAGCGAATAACAAAGATCTTCAGTGCCGATTCAACATGCTTAATTGGCCGAAAAACAGCCGACAAGGGCCAACAGTGCAGGACACACCGCAACAACCAGGAGGACAGATGCTCACTAGCGGCGATTGGCTTGGTGTTTCAGGGCTCGTTGCCACATTTCCACTGCATAGAACAACATGACTCTACTCAACTCAGCTCTCGCTTTTTTGGTTTTCCATTGGCAGAAGTTGGGGATAGTTCTGGTACTTTCTTTGGTACGACCACGGTCAAAGTTCTAAGCGAGCTGAGCGGTTACTAGAAGGCAGAATTAAAATACTTCAGATCCCTGATTGGTCAGAGAGAACTGTCACTAGTGCAACATGGAACATCCTGCACAAACCCGCTGTTTTTAACAAGCCATGCTACCATCAGAAGCAACTGTAGTTGTTTTTATTCACTGGACCCAAATTTTAAAAAATGGCAGCCCATAAAACTGTGTTCATGAGGGTTTGATTGACAGTTTTCACACCAGCCCAAACAAACCTGAGTTCATTATAACCGTACCAAACAGGTTGGGTGTGAAAGCACCCAAAGTGAAAGTAAAAGAATTGGTCTCTGCCATGGCAGCCCCACCTTGGCTACTCAGACCACAACTCTGATACTCTCCTTTGTGCAGACCAGTTGATAAACGGGTTAAACTGGTTCTGTGGCAGATCAGAGAGTGGCCGGCTGGAGCCTTCCCAGACTGTTCCCACTGCCCAGACTGGAACATTCAAGGAGGCTGCTGCCTATGAGACTGTTACTGACCTGGAGGAGTATACAGGGCTCGCAGGACATCACTTGACCACAAGAGCACATGCCTATGACTCTCAAGAGTCTCTGGCTTTTCACGCCAATGACCTAAGACTGCTCCGCCAATTATGACTCCAATCATGTTATCAAAGTCACAGTCAACACGACCCTGGTGGATTGTCTGGTATGGGAACTGCATCAGCTCAGGCCATCACTGACTGTGTTTACAAGGTCTTTAGTATTGTGGTTTTGAGGCTTATCCGGGATATGATGTTTACATGGAACACAGAGAAACCCGGTTATTCATATCCCTGTATACATGATAAATACCAGTAACCCGTTTTCTGATCACTGCATCCTATCTGCGCAGGCATATGTTACATCTTTTACTTCTTTTGTTTACAACAGATTGAGCGGGAAATGTTATATATTTATTATTATTTTATCATATTATAAGCCGATGTCAACACCACTGCTGGCAGCTGTTGCCAGAGGACGGTGACCTAACATCTTGTCCAGTGTTTTGAAAAATTTGAAGGTTGCTGGATCAGAGCTGGTTGCTGGTTCTGACGCTTGGCTAAGTAGTAGTGCTTCTTCAATATTTTCCACCGCGACCGAACTTGTTCAACAGTGCGAGGTGGAAAACCAGTGTCATGTAGCTTGTCCGCAACAGACTTGAAAAGGTCGGCATTTCTGTGTCTTCTGACGTCTAAACACGTAGTTATGTTGAGTTCTTTAATCATTTTCAGGCAAAATTCAGTCTCTTCGTCGCTCCAAAAATGGGAAGCTCTCGTTGCCGCCATGTTGCTTGTATATCTGGTGCGTCACTCTGGCACCTGCGCACACGGTGGGCAGCCGTCAGAGACCGGGATAAGGCGTATACATGCTCCAGTATCCCGGCTTCTATTGGAGTACTCCAGGTGGCAAAACCGGGTTTCTTGAAACCGGGAAAAGGGCATAACCCGGTTTCTGAATTCGGGATATGGTGTTTACATGGACAGACAGAAAAACGGTAAACTTAAAAAACCCAATCAAAACCGGGATACTAAAGACCTTGTAAACACACTCACTGAGACCTTCCTCTGATATTTACACTAAACACTGCACAGCCCCCCAAGTGACTACTTACACCTCACAATATTTCCTCAGGGACCCTCAGACAGCTTATCCCTTATGTTTGTTATGACACTCCATGTTTGTCCCTGTTTTTGTTCCTTTTTGTTTGTACCTCATGTGTAAGATAAGATAAGTTAAGTAACTTTATTCATCCTGAGGGAAGTTGCTGTGCACCGGTTGCGATACAAAGATAGTGGAGAGCAGATATAAGTTGTGCAATATACAAGGACTAAAGTGACAAACTATAAAAAGCGAATGGATAGCACATATAGGACACAAAATACAAGATATAGCAAATCTAAAACTAGTTAACAGTAAGGTGCAAAATATACAAAACAAAAATCTGAGGTCTGAGGTAGTTGGTCTAAGAGTTCAAGTAGTTTTCTAAATGTTGTATCACTCTTTCTTTTTGTTGTACACTGGTGATCAGGAGAAACGTAGTTCGGTTTCTTTATGTACTCACTGCTCTGTATACAGATGGGTGACAGTAAAGTCTCCCTTAACTTATCTTACAGTTTTTTTTACCCCAGTAACCAGCATCCATCGTTTCTGAAGCCACTTTTTCCGGATCTCGTCATGCAGTCTGTATTACCAACGTGCGTCTTGGCCAAACAGTTCATCTCACCTCCGAAACTTCCTCACACTACCAAAACACGTTTCAAAATAAGCTCATTCGACTATAACACCGTCAACAATACTCATACTCAACATACTCACTCACAACACACTGACTGACCTAAAAAAACACTATGAATAGGGAGCACAACATAAATAATTAACTTTTGTTTTCAGAGTTTGAATGATTTTTCACATAAATCAGTATTACATACAAAAAACATCTAAATTTTAGATTAGACTTTCCTACTTGAGTGCCATCTAGTGGTAGCACCAAGAATGCCACTGTGGAGTTGTTTCATTCTTGGGAATATGTGTTTCATTTTTTCATGCCTGATCTTTTTCATTTTTTACAAACTGAAATGTAAACCATCATTTAGAAGATGCTATAATCACTGGAAAAGAATCCACACATACAAATTTTCAGACAGTGTTTCAGTGTTTAGATGTAGTCTAATCTGTCTTGCTAAATACAGGGACAGTGTGTTGGCGAAATGATTAAGAATGAGATCACAAAACTATACTTCTTTTTTTTTTTCATCTGTCTCAGGTTTGCCAATGTGCTCGTGTACTACGGCCTGTCTCTCAACATTTCTGACTTTGGAATGAACATCTATCTGACCCACATGATCTTTGGCCTGGTGGAGATGCCTGCACGCACCATCACCCTGTTCACCCTCAACCGCTCCCGCAAGATCTCCCAGCTGGCCTTCCTGGCTGTGGGTGGCACAGCCTGCCTGCTCACCATCTTCATCCCCAGTGGTATGGACACACATGCTGATTTACAATTCAGCTGCATCTTGTAGACCTTTTCATATATTGTCCAAACAAATCTCGAAGCGTTTCCCTCACTCTTCCTTGACTTCTTCTCTAGACCTGTCTGTCATTAAAACCGTGCTGGCCATGATTGGGAAGTTTGGGATCACAGCCTCTCTTTCCATTATTTACGTGTACTCAGCGGAGGTGTTCCCCACTATTATCAGGTGAGTGTGTTCCTGACTAAGATAGCTTCCTAACAAGATTCCTGAGCTACACTCATTGTGACTTATCAGCTTTCACTGAAACCAAACATGTTCTGGTCACCAATGTTTCTGCCATAGAGTCTGACTTAAAGTTGTGCGTAGGCTCTATGCAGAGCTAACGCTGTAGCCTACGCAAGTGGCCTATGCTGATTTGAGTATTTATACTTGTGCAGTAATGTGTCTGTGTCACTCTGCAGTTAAAATTTATATATATATATATATATATATATATATATATATATATATAATGCAGCTGATTTGTGTAGTTGTGTTTTATTTTGTTGTTATTAAGCCTTGTTTTAAGTGTCATTTAGGTGTGTTTGGAACCAACAGAGTCCTAAAATCTGGAAATTAGTTAGCATTTTACCACTCGCAGTTACCTTGTCTCAAAGTCAATGGCTTTTTGGTTGGATGCTTGAAATAAGGTCTGTGGTTAACACAAGCCTAAGAGAATGTTCAAATGTTGTTCTACGACATAAAATTCATCTGTAAATACCCCACTCATGAATTTTGAGGCTTTTCTGTGTCTTAAAAAGGCACTTGCCAACAAGTGGAAGTATGGTTGGCCTTAACGTAACGTGATGTGACGACGTGTCGTGATGTGACTTCATGTGATGTAGTGTGTCAATTAAAATGCGTCAATTAAAATAACTCACATTGACTTTTGGTTTTACATGGGACACAAACAGCGGCCTCCTTGGTGAAAGTCTTGTGATTGTTTGACATGTCCATCACCCTGACCACCATCTAAACAAACTTTGTTTGTCTATATCCTGTGTGACCTGTATTCCGTCTTTGCTCCTGAAAGCCTGCAGCGCGTAGGTCACATGTTCACAGCCCCCTTGGTCACAATTTCGCGGGTTATGTCCAAATTAAAGTGCAGTGCATGAACAGTGAATGAAAACAGCCTCGACTTAATGACCTGGATCAGGCTGTATAATGTTCAGTGGTTTATGACCCTGTCTGATGTTTATATTGAGCTGTGATTATGTTGTAGTTGAGGTGTGATGCCATAAAAGCCATTTGACTCCAAGAAATCAGCCATCTGTACTTATTGTCTGGTGTATGAAGGACTTAATGTAACATAGATAACGTTTTGGCAGCATGTCTCTTAAATGATTTTACAACGCCATCCATTTATTATGCAGCTTTCCAAGGAGTCCCTATCTTATGTTGTTAAGACTTAAGGTGCGGACACACCGAACCGACATCAAAGAACTAGCAGTGACAAAAGCCAACTGCTGCATCGTCTACGTCGCCTCACGTCGCCCTGTGTCAGTTGCATTTGAACACACTACAAAGACTACATCCGACAGCCAAGTAGCATGTACGTTCTGTGCCTGCGTGAGAGGAAATAACGCAAAAAGGGAAACCCGGAAGTCCAAGGAATGCTCTCTCTCACCGACAAGCTCCGCCGCCGATTCAACATGCTCAATTGGCCAAAAAGCCACCAACGCCGAAGTGCCGACGGCGCGGGACACACCGCAAAAACTAGGGCGACAGACGCTCACCGACGGCCTGACTTTGACCGTTGGCTTGGTGTGTCAGGGCCTTTAGCCCAAACCTAGGGGAGTCTGGTTCCATGCTCCTTGTATGGAGCCTCCAGGAACAGCGCCAATCTTTGAAGCCAATTTCACATAGCGGCCCAAAAGTGGAATTACAACAGTTGGCTCCATCACTTGATGCCATCGGGCCCAAAAATACTTTTTCCCATAGACCTACACTGTAAAAAGACGTCTGTAAATCAGTGGATACATAATTTTGTGTGGGGGAACAACATCTCGAAAGCGTAGAGGAGCCACACAACCAAATGATTGTTTCCAAATTCAAGTTAGTGGTGGGCTGAACAGGAGGTTAACTGCTTGGCTGCCAGAGTCTCTGGCATGCTCACGCAGTGTGCCACACAATACAGAAGAAAGGGGTAATTTTATACCCAGATGTCAGACTTTTTTGGCTTCACGTGCCACTGAGCAACTGTCTTAAAACGTTTGGGGCCCTGTCTCCAGTGCTGCATTTAGCTCTCTTCATACATCCATGGACAAAATCAGCAGAGGGAGGGACATAAAAACAGCCGATGTGGCATGTTGTGTGTAGCGCATGCACTGGTGTCGTCACCGGCTGTTACCAGAGATGGGGACTCGAGTCATTGTGACTTGGACTCGAGTCGACTCGAGTCGCTGTTTTGATGACTTGTGACTTGACTAGACAAAAAATAAAAGACTTCAGACTTGACTCGGACTTGGAAGTTAAAGACTCGGGACTTGACTTGACTTGAGACACGATGACTTAAATGACTTGAGTGTTATTCACATCATGTTTTCTGTTAGAATATAAAATTAATAAATTAATTTAAAAAATAATGTTGATTACCCGGTAGGAGCGCAGGCTGAGAATGGCGTTGTCATGATTGGATCATGATCATTGGATTGGGGGGGGGGGGGGGGGTCGATTTGGTGTAACTTGTTTTTTAATTTATTTGCTAACATTAACCCCAGAAAACGTGAGCGAACATTCCGACCAGTTCATCATAAGACCGGCTGTACGTTGTATGAACGAGCAACACAGGGTTAAATGAGCTAAATGGGTGATTTTGGCCGCTGCCTTGGTTAGTGTGTGTGTGTGTGTGTGTGCGCGCGCGTGCATGCGAGCATGCATGGGGGTCATCCCTGCAAAGTAAACATTGCAGCGATGAAGTCAATGTTTACTGACAGTTACTTATATCTTGTCTTTTCACTTTATTAAGATCAGATTCTGCAGGTAAAATTACAATAATAAGGTGACTTGACTTGGACTTGACTTGACCTATTACAGGACTTGACTTGACTTGACTTGACATAACCTGTGACTTGACTTGACTTGCCCAAGAAAAAATGACTTGGGACTTACTTGAGACTTGAAGATTAAGACTTGAGACTTACTTGAGACTTTAAGACTTACTTGAGACTTGCACATGTGTGACTTGGTCCCATCTCTGGCTGTTACCACAATCAGATAATCAGATAAAGTGTTTACACGGTTATCAGGTGTTTATATTTTCCGATTGGATAGATTATCAAAGTTTTACAACACCCCTCTCAACCTGTAAATTCCCTTTGATCAGGCTGGATCAGGCCAAGTCTTCTGACTGGGGTGGTTTTATGAGACATTTTTAATTTGATTTGGCTATTATTCTGATTATTAATGAATTACTAGGGTCCATGTAAATGAGTCTTCAAGACTCTGACGAACACAAGACCATATACTCAATTATGTTAGACTTCTTTAGGGAATGGCATTGTGTGAGCCAAATAAGTTCTTTAACCAACCACACTTTAAGTTCATAAGTTCATTTACCATCTGTGTACACTTGGGTTGCTGTGCTGGTATCTCGGGCTCAGCAGTAAAGGTGGGAAGATCACTGTTGATCTCAGATGTTCGACACGGAAGGGCAAAGGGTTTTTGACCACTATGGCATGGAAAATTTGTGGCGCTGAAAGTTGAGTGTGTTTTCAATGGATATGAAGAAATTAATTTTTATCACCTTTATACATGATGGAATTAACAAATGGGATGATTGTTCTGCAACCAAAGCCTGCAGGTCCCTCTTCTGAACACAACACACATTACAACAAAGGGAAGTGTGGCATCATATCAGACCACAGCGAGCATGCCAGCCAGGTCAGACTGGGTTAGACACCTCAGTAGCTGTACATAATAGACTTAGCTCTGACAGGCATAGATTCAGGGTGCCCCCTCCACCCTTGCGTTCGTGCTAAATCACAAATTTTAAATTCTGTTCTCAGTTACAGGTCAACACCACACAAAGGCAGGGTACGTGTTCTATCCGTCCTGTTGCTGGTCATGATCAATACAGGTCAAAGATTTCTCTGCAGCAGAAGAAGCAACTCAGCAGTAGTGATTTGCCTTCAGGTTCTGACTCTCCTTCATCTGTCACTCACAGACAGAATGGGATCGGTATTGGCTCCATGTGCGCTCGGATCGGAGGAGTCCTGGCTCCCATGCTGTACCTTCTGAGGAGCATAAGTCCGCACGCTCCCATGGTGCTGTGTGGCCTCTGCCCTCTGCTGGGCTCTGTCCTCACCCTGCTGCTACCTGAGACAGCCAACAAGCCCCTGCCTGACACCATCGAAGACGTAGAGGGATCCGACCTCAGGTTTGACACCGCTACTTTAAAACAATTGTTTTTATTGCCTCATAATGGCAAAGAAACTAATTCTCATCCTATTGAAGAACACAACTGTCCCTACCTCCAAGATGTGGCTAGAGGACTTAACTAATACCTTCCATCTGGAGAGGATAAGATGTGCCCTGAAAGATAGGCTTCAACAATTTAATAAAATCTGCAAACCCCTCATATCTTATCTTGCAACTACTAATCTAGCACAACACACAGCCTTGTCACTTCAAAGACTAATATCCTGAATAAGAGATCTACAGGTAGAATATTAACTGATGGATTGTGGTGTGTAGTAAGTGTGAATAATTTTGTTGCTTGGCCGGGTGGGTCAGACACTTCCAAGATTCATAACTTGGCAACGGAAAAAAACTCAAACTATGCAGTTGTTACTGAGGCTCAAAGCTGATTTATTTCCTATGTTTCCATCTTTTCTTTTTTAGTGAGGGCGGCAGTCTGAAGCAAGTCGTCTTTGAGAAGGACGTCGTCGGCAGCACCAGGATTGACTGCTGAGATGAGCTGCTACATCTCATGAGACAGTCACTACTTTTCAGGCCTTTTCCAAAGGCAAACGTCTATGCTTCCAGGGGAAGTTAACATGGGACTTTGTTTTTCAGATTCTGAACACTAGAGCAGTTTGTGTCGAAGTGTTTTTACTCTTTTTCACTATATTTTGTATAAGTTTGTTTTTATATGTTGTAAGTGGAATGGAACAACTAATATTAATACAATTAATATTGTAATATTAAGAATAAAATGTACAGAGAAAATTAACTCCATAGTCTTGAACAATGTATGGGGTGCACCATTGTGGGAAGGATCCAAAACAAACAGGCACACCAACTCTCACAGATAAATGTACTTATTTAATGTGGGGATAAGGAACAGAAACATGTGTTTCAGCCACAAAGCATCATCAGCATGATGAAAGAAGCAGGAAGCAGCACAGAATCAAATATAGCCCACTTTATACATTTGTGTGTGTACATATATATGCAAATGACAAGGTGGTATTTATGCATTACACACCCAGGCACGGTTGTACAGGCTCAAAGTAAAATCTTCTATCCATGTGCAGGTAAAACTCGAGTCCTCAAGGAGCCATTTTAGCTACAAACTGGTGCTATTACAGATGTATAAGACCTGATAAAAACACTAATCTAAAGAGAGAGCTTCCTCCTCTTTCAGCTGTCGTAGCACCACAAGAATTCCAGGTAAAGTGTTTTTATACACAATGCTTATAACTGAAGTATAGTTTACAAGGGTATGTTGCAGGTATAGACTGTATGAAATAATGGACGTAGCCACCATGATATCACCCATTGGTTTTTGGAATCTTGTTTTGAAGCTTTGCCCTTTGGCCATCGCCATCTTAGATTTTTAGGGAGCCTGGAGTGACAATATTAGGACAAGACGGTGGTGATAACACTTGCTACTAGCTTAGTTAGCATGGTGCGTTTACAGCTATGGTTCTGTGATAATAGTAATGCTAATGCTAATTTTCTTGAGCAAAAAACAGGCTTAAAAACAAAATGTGCTTACTGGAAAAACTGAGCATTCGACTCTGTAGAGAGTCTTTTAGTACATCCAAACACTGAGCAAGACTTTTTAGGCCACCTTAAACGTTACAATTAACTTTCATGACCTAAAAACACACTGTAAATGTGGATTCCCACCGAAAGTTTCATGAGCGTCATAAGCAGCCGGCAGCCATTCATTTTCAGTGCACACTGGCGACAAAGGGCGTCAGGGGCATCGGCTGCAGCGAGCCACGCAATTCCAGTGACCAGAGCGTCAAGTAGAAGTTGAGAGAAGCTGAACTTTATGCAGATGAGCAGCACCGCCGCCAAAGCAGCAGCCAAGTGCAGACCGGGTTTGCATGACTCTGTGGATCCAGACAGACCGACGGCTCCGGGTCCTGCATTTCCTCAGCAAATACGGCAATGCAATACAAAGGAGGCTTCCGAAAGTGCGATCCATGGTGAAAGAGGAAACCAAAGATGTGCATGCTATACATATAGGCTACGCTTATTTCCCTCCAGATAAGCTCCCGCTAATAAAAGACTCATAAAGGCTATACGACTGTGTTTTTTGGCGTTCATTTAATCGTGTAATGAAAGTCATGAAGAATACATAGTGAAGACATAAATGATAATATATTTGTTCATCCTTGTAAAGTGCATAGCCAGTCAGCCTTGATGGACACATCTGCAGCGCCCGGCCCCGCCCCTTTGGCCGCTGCAAGCACCTGCTAGAGCTGGCAGTGTGAGCGATGTCAGAGCGACCAGAGCGCCCACAGGCGACCATGAAGCTTTTGGTGGGAATCCCCAGTAACAGTGACAGGTACGGTGAAGAGGTAAAACAAACAATGTCCGAACTCATTCTAATGAGTCTCCACCTATTTTTCTTAATCCTTCCAACTAAAGCCAGAACATAATGGTGTATTGCCCAGGCATGTGTGGATATGACTTCATAATGGTGTAATGATGGTATGGACATGCACAGTCATGGTCTAACTTGTCCCTCCAAAATGTTCAGGCCTAAACCTACACTTTCTACTTTTTAAAAAAATACACAATCAAGGTATTCCTAATAATGTTACCATATCAGATGTGACACATATTCAATACATGACTAGATATGTAGATGAGAGCATTAGTATGTATTTATTAGGTATGTGGATACGTACATGTTGATTAATACATTCCATCATACTTTCAATCAGCCAAGGGTTGTTTTACACAACAACGGCTACATCTATATTTTGTGAATCAGGGGCTACGCCACGGATGCATCACCTAACGTTGTTGCCGACAGCACCCACCTGTCACCCAAAGTGGCCACGCCCTTACATATGCACACGTCTAGGCCTTAGTAACATTTAAGTGGAAGAGTTGTAATAAAATTCATCCCCCGCCGTACAGTTGTCATGCATGGGGAAATTAGCTATAGAGACCAAAAGCGTTTTTTTGTACCAGGCTGTAAATGTGTTTATTTCTGTTGGGCATTTTAATGTGGAGGTCTATGGGGATTTACTCACTTTTGAAGCCAGCCTCAAGTGGTCATAAGCAGAACTGCAGTTTTTGGTACTTCATGTTGGCTTTGTTTTTAGTCTCAAAGGCTGTTGCTTGGTTTCAGGCCTTGAAGCTGCCTTCATTCATTATCTTTTGGTCACTTGGGGACAGCAGAGCAAACTGTAAACACATCATTTACATATTATCACCATATAAAGCTATCTCAGCATGTCAGCAAACAGTCACATCAAGCAGACAGAGCAACATTAGCATTTATTCTGAGTGTGTTTATGGCAGATGTAAGCCAGGACTAACATCTAGTGGAAAGTCTGAAACCAGAGCAGCACAGGCTGTTACTGCAGCAGACTAATGGCCATTGTTGTGGAATAGTTTCTTTCTCAAACTCAGCTTGTTTGTGTTTTAAATCCCTCTGCGGGCAGTAAGTAACTCCTTATCTCTTGTGCAAACACACTCCTCCACACCTGACTTGGGGCTTAGTTTGAGATGATACACTCCCAAAGAAAACACTTCTCCATCAGGATGTTTGTTCAAAAGCCGACCATATAGTCTGGCCTGCCGTGGGGTGCTATTGTCATGTCACGTCTCTAAACATAAATCCTGTCCAATACTGGCCAAACTGTGCTGACCCCAGATTGTAAAGGTTTGGTTTGGTTCTCACCTCCGTCTGTAGCTTTGAATCTACAATACATGTTAAAAAAACTGGTAATCCTGCAGTGATAAAGTGGCTATCGTATGTCCTCTGTCAGCGCAGCCAGTGAAAGCCCATTAAACTCATCATCCCAGCAGCAGTATTATCAAGCAGCATATTTATAGTAATATCCAACAGCAGGAGCTGTCTCTAAAGAAATGGTGTGAGTATTAAAATCTTTTCTGACAGCTCATCAACAACAACCAGAAGTACTGACTGAAGTTAAAACACTTACATGTTTGACTTGGCTCTAATGTGTATTATTTTTTGAATTTTTTGTATTTTGTCATGATTGTATCAATGCATCTATATACTTTTACGTTCATATACAGAGATTTCTAGAACCAAAGTGTGTGACTCAGCTTGTTGCTGTGAATGTTTTCTAGGCTTTATTTGTACAGTAAAGATTTGTTAGCAGAGTTTATGGGATGCTCTTCTTTTAGGTTACACAAGCAATAGGTTGTGGGAAGAAGCTCAAATTAAGTATTAGAAATTGCCAGCAGGAAGTACGTCTTATTAGCTAATGTGTTTAATTTAAAATGTTGTTAGATGAGACTATAAAATAAGGTTGGGTTTTCCTGGATGACAACATTACTACATGTCACATAGCAATGTCTTGAAATTATTGATTTTATGAAAATAGATGGCAGTAACGTGGATGCAAAAATAAATCTAACCTGTTGTAGTTGCTTTATAAATAATTTCCCTCTACAATTTCCAACATTTGCTTGTTGGTCTACTGCTGTTCTTCCCAAAATGGGGGACATGACCAGAGGGAGTTTAAGGGAAAAATTAAGTGGACTTTTTAAATTGTTCAACACAGCTGAAACGGAAAACATCACTACAACACTTCATGAGACTGAGTTTATCTGGCGCCCAGTAATTTAAGAATTCCTTCGAAAAATGACCATCTGTACATCATGTTGGATTTGTGAAGAAAAAATAGTTTTATATGTGTCTCCAAAGTGAACGAAGAATCCAAAAACTGAGAAAATTCTTGATGGGTTGAAGTAAATGGGGGCCATGTTTAACAATAGCAAAACAAAATCAAAAGATCCGTAGACAAACTCTCACACAACTCATGTAGTATTGCTGTTTGTTCTTGCATGCCTCCATAGTGAATGAAGAATCCAAAAAAATTCTTGATGAGTGAAGTCATAGGGGTCCTCCTAACTATGTCAGAATATCCATTAACATATTCTCACACAATTAATGCAGTATAATCTAAGTCTCATTTGTCCAGTCATATGCTCAGTACTTCCCAAACAGATGCATTTTCACTAAAACCTTACTTTTTAAAACTAAACTGAATTGCTCTTTTTTTTTTTTATGAAAATGCGTGTTTAGGATAAAAGAGATGTGGATTATACTGCACAAGTTGAATAAGAGTTTATAAACAGATGTTTTGATGTGGTTTTGCTGGTGTCCAACTTGGTCCCCAATCAATCAGTCAGTCAATATGTTCACTGTTTTATGTGGAGACATTCAGGAAATACAAAGTTTTCTTCACCAGTTCAAGGTAACACAACATGACTGATTTACAAATGGTCATTTTGTAAGTGAGGTATTCCTTTAAGCAATAATGTAATAAAATGTCTTGACTGGTAATGTTTTAACAATACTGATAATGTTAACCCTTTCAGGTGGATCTCTTTAAATAAAATCTATAAGGAAATCATTTTGACAGATGTAAAAATGTAAATTTATTTTTTATTCTTAAAAAAAGTTTGCTTTCTTTCTCTGAAGTGTAAAGTGTGCATGACACTATTAGTAACATGTTGGCCTACCGAAAACAATAACATTTGACACTAGTGTCATGTTTAGAAATATAATATCTCTATGTAAAATTTGAAATTTCTAATTTCTTAAATAAATAGCTTAAGAGCCCTACAATAATACACAGAAGAAAAAAGGGTTAAGATAGGATCAGTGTCTCTTCCTCAAACACACATTGACCCAAAACCTCATTTGTGACTTTTTTTGTTTGTTTGTTTTTTTTTGTTTTTGTTTTTTTTACCATCCCCCAAGCTAAATATTTTTCCTTGAGCCTC